AGTATATAATAATGATAGGGTTCTAAAAAAATGAACCCGATCTTAATTTTATCATATTACGTGTTCCGTGAGTTTTTTCGTTATTCGGACTGATCCGGAAAAAAGCAACTGTTACACACGTTTGTATTTTAATATATTAGATAATTTAGTCTCAACAGAAGTAAATATTTTACAGGTAATAAAGATGTCATAATTTATACTATGTTAATGTCTATATTTACGTATTCTCTATACTTACTTTTATATATTCATACTATTTTATATACATTCTTTACTATAATATATAATAAGGACAATAACTTAAGTGATTTTGAGCATGAAAATGAGTTAATATATAATTCTGTAGTTGCTGTCCAGAAGAATAAAAAGTTGGGCTTTCCTGAAGAAAAGTTATGTAAAGGAGAGATATTTAAAAGTTGGGAAGAAGCATTAAATATAATAACAATATATGCTCAACAGAAAGAGTTTGGATTAAGAAAAGGCTGCAGTAAAAAAACTTCAGATAGAGTTATATGCAATTGAACAATAGATTGTGAGCATAGTGGTGTATATAAGCCAAGAAACAAGCTATTGGTTAAGGAAACAAATACCAAATATATGAAGTGTTCATGATATATAAATTTGTCACAACTAACAAAAAACAATTCACATAGCAACGTCTATATTACAACTCTAAGTAATACACATAATTATAAGCTATCTTCTAATAGAGAAAGATTTTTTAATAGCATTGAATTTATACAAGCAATAGAGTTTTATGTCAATATAATTAAACTAAAACTATTACAGATTAAAAAAGCTTTAGAGAAAGAATTTTCTAATTATGAAATTTATCTCTCTAAAGTTCATAAAGCAACTGCAAAATTTTATTGTGAGAAGCAAAAAGATATTTCAAATAATACTGCATCCTTATATGAGGATTTATTAAAGAAAAAGGAAGAAGATCCTTGCTAGTATATTGCAATTGACAGAGACAGAGAAACACATAGTCTTTAAAGACTGTTTTGGATATCCCCTAATCAAATTATTCTCTGGATAAAGTTTAATGATATCATTTTAAATGATAATACTGCTAAAACAAATCGTTATGACATGGCTCTTTCACTTTTTTTATGTATTAATAATCATAAACTTTCCTAATTAGTTGGATGTGCTTTTATAGATGATGAGTTAGCAGACTCTTATTGATGGGTTTTACGTCAAACAAAACTTGCTACAAATAGTTGTATATCTGCAGTTATTATGACCAATGCTGATCTGGCTTTGGATCTTGCTATATCTGAGGAGTATGAAAAATCTTATACTATGCATTGTATTTTTCATATTTTACAAAATCTTTCTAGAAACCTTGAGGCCCGGTTGGGTCAACAATATAATGAATTTATTAAGGACTTTTATATAGCTCAAAATTTACTTATTCTAAATATTTTTGAATATAAATAAACACAATTAACTAAAAAGTATAATGAACCTAGAATTATTAAATATTTGCAAACATTATATTCATCAAAACATGTATGAGTATGTATATACACAGCTAAAGTTTTTACAGCCAGTATTCAGACAACATCAAGAGTTGAGAGCTATAATGTTCAAATAAAGCGATTAGTTCTAAACTCTAATATTAGTCTTATAGAACTTTCTGAAGCTTTAGAAACAAGCATAAATGAAAAAAAAACAACAAAACTAAATATATTTATTGGAAAACCCAAATTCTATTAACATCTTCTGTTTTCACATTACTACAAGCATTGTTTTCTGAAGTTGACAAGGCTTTGAGTTATTTTTTTATACCTGTGATACTAAAAATTTAACATATTGAGATTAAAAGTTGTTTAAATTATTAAGCATCTTCTATTACAAAAGCTGAGATAATTAAATATCAAGAGGTATGCATTATATAGTCTTTAAATTTATTGTTTTAATTAACTTGTTATACTTACAAATTTTTTTTTATTTAAGCCTAAATTAGATACTATACAATTTATTGAAGATGACAAAGATATAATACAGGTTTCTGTAAACTATGTGTTAAGAAATGTGGATGTTAATAGAATTGAGAAAATCTGGGCTATTTGCACAATTATAGTATCAAAATTTTGTCATTTTGTAATACTTCTTTTTGATAAAACTTATATATGTTCCTGCTTAGGGCTTGTAAGTCATAGAATAGTTTGTCATCACTTTTTTTAGATGCTATTATATAGTTCTGTAGCTGTATTCCATATTACACATATTCACAAAAGATAGTATAACGATATTCATAGCAATTTACAAGAAGAGCTCTATTATGTTGCTATGCAATTTAGTAAAAACTATCTTCAACACCAACCTGCAGAGCTAATGAGAGATAATACTAATAAATTGTTTACACCTATAGCTGATCTTTGAAATGAAAGAAAAGAGGATATTAATAAACAAAAATTGTATAGAGAGCTGTGAGGGTAGTACAAGATATTACGCAAAGAGCAGTTCGATTTCACCGGCATAATATTCTTAAAAAACTACAGGATTTATTGACTAAATTGTGAGAAAATATGTTAATAGATAGCTCTGATAATAATGATGATGAAATATGTAGTGATAATAATGATAATTCAGATGACAATGATAACAATAAAGAAAATGATTCGTTGGCTAAAATATCCCTTCAAAACCCCAAAAAGCATAAAGCAAAAGGATATCCCAAAAGTTCTAGGCGAATTAAACAATTAGAAGAATTGAAACCGGTACTAGCTAAGTGTCAGAATCAGTATGGAAATTGTGAAGAGTATAGACATTATCAGTTTAGATGTCCAAAAAAGTAATTAAATAGAGGGTGTTGTTTTAATAAACTATTTATTTATGTAATGATTTATTTTCTTAATAAAATAGTTTATTCTATTGTATTATTATATGATAGAAAGTTTAGTTTTGTGATATATGTTATTACTGTATTATAATCTTTATATCGATATTGTGAAATGTAATAATTTGTTCATTATTTAATCATTTTTAAATCATATGATCTCTGTACTCATATTAATACAAACTGGTAAGTATATCTAAATTTTTTGAGTTAAAACTTAAGTTCTAATTCTTGAATTTTATATTATATATAATAATCACAAGACTAATTATTCCCCACTTTGAAGTTCTTGTATGCTGTAACAAAATGATACAAACTTGTTAGTTACATATAGAGTAAATCATCTATTTAACCACTAATAATTATTTGTAACAAATTACTATAACCCACTATTTGCACTAACCCTTAATTGTGGTTGAAATTGTTATGGCTTAGACTGTAACTAGCTAAAACATATGTTATAACTAGTTATAACATAAGCATAACAGTTACTGCATCTCTAGTATAAAGGCTATACATCTACAGATTTTATGAGAATAATTCTCAAATTTTCTCACAAATAGCTATAATGTTATCTTCAAAATACTATTAGCTTTAAGTAAGTATATCTCTCTAGTATTATCTTTGAAATTAGAATAAATTTGAAATTGAAGGTTTGAAGTGAATATATAATTAATCACTAATAGCAACATTAGAGTGTAGAAAATATTGTTTACACACCTAATTACAACTTTTATTATAGTAAAGTTCCTTGGCTAAGAAAACAAATCTTCACTATAACAGAAGTGAGTTGTATCAGGTAATTATCTCTAGTCTAAGCAGTCTGGTAAACACTCAAATGGTACTACTGTACTAGTACGCTTAGTCTATTTATTGTGGCAGATTAAAATGAAATCGGATTAAAATAAAATTTTTCTATTTTTTTAGAAAAATTTAAAATTTTTTGAGAGACATTTTTTAGGGTTAGGGTTAGTGTTAAAGTTAGGGTTTAGAGTTAGTTTTATTAATAAAAGAGTATAAATAGGTTTTATAAGCTTTAAAGATAAGCAAGAAAGGTCACTAGTTTTATTTTAATCTGATTTCATTATGATTTGCCACATTTAATACTGCATATCTATATACTTTATTATTTACAATACTATTATTTCATTCTATTTTTTTATTTTATTTTTGCAACCTTTAATCTTTCAATCTCTATTATATATTTTCTTTATATATTTTCTTTATATATTTTCTGTCTTTTTCTTCTTTTTGCTTTTTCAGTACTGTATTATAACTATATAATGTAAACATAAAACAATCTATTAAATAAAGTTGATTGGGAGTATATGTCTAAGATCTGGAGATAGGATATTAAAGGTCTGGGTAACCAGATCATGGGTGGTCTCAACAATATCAGCTACCCCTACTATCTACCACACTAGCCATTTAAATTTCTTGGCTGCTAGTTTACTCTAAACAACAAACAATTCAAACAATCTCAGCTTATACTGTCAGAATCTTTACTCCTTATTCAAATTGCTAATACCAAACAAATTACTGATACCCAGGCTTGGTATATTATTAATACTATTATTATTCCTTCTATTGAATATCGACTTCAAAATATTGTCTTTAGCTAATTCTACTGCAACAAAATTCTTTCACAACACATTGGCTTTGTCAAGCACAAAGCCAAACTTAGTCACACTATACCTACTAGCACTCTTCTACATCCTCAAATTTATAATATTAAAAATATTTAAAATATTCAAATCCAGCATTATATCTCCAATTTCCTTAAACAGTTAAACAATAAAGGTCTACTTGGGGTATTTACTCAAATTAGAGTACAACAGCTTTAAAACAATCTTTGGTTACCTACTAGCATACTGCTATACCCAAACCTCATTATTGATAGATCTAACAAATACTCTGCAAGTTTCAAAATTATACAACTTTTCAAATTCATTAATTATTTTATCAATTCTAATTCACATTTTCTAATACCTTTCACTCTTCAAGAAGGTTCAATATCTTTTGAATTAATTCTTGCCTCCGATCCCCAATACCTACTTTCAAAAAGCAACTTCATTATTTCCATCTACTTTTTCTTGATCAACTTACTATATCTAACAACTCTTGTCTTCTTGACTAGATGCATATCTTACCCAGACTTAACAAAATTCTAAGAGGAAAAATCTCTCATTGGTTCACTTTTCTTGAAAGCCAAACTATTACCATCTCTGCTCACACTATCCTGCCTAGTTTTAACTTACCTTCTTCCAATTACTATAGTTATAATACTAGTTACTTCTATAAACACTCCAAACTATAGCTTATTATTCTTTTTAATAACCAAACTATTATTGGCAAAGCCCATCACCAATCCAACAATACTAGTTATACTTTAATAAGTTACTGGCAATGTAATATTACAAGTTATTTACTCTCACCCTACCCTCTACCTCCTATAACTACAACTCTATGCCAGTGTTCATTTTTCACATGCACAAAAGTGTGTGCACGTGTGTGGTTCTAATCAAATTGCTTTATTTAAAATTTTAATTGGATCTGCATATATGCGCACACTTTTTTATATATAAAAAATAAACACTGCTCTATACTTAAACTGCTCTTTAAACTCTAATATTATTGCTAACAAGTATACTACTCTTATTCCTATGAGCCAGGC